GACTGTCCGTCATTTTCCTCTAGCCCCGCTTCGAACCAGCCCGACCGCCTCAAACCTCTTCGACGCTAGGAGCATCCCTGGCATCCTTGCATCATCACACCAGACCTGTCACCCTCGTCTCAAAGTCCCCCATCACCACCACCCCCGTCCTTTGACGCTTCTGGCGCTCGACCCCCTCCCCACCAACGTCCATATTCTTATCGCGGCGTCGGTGCATTTTTTCTTTCTTATCTGCTGATCTCACTCACATACACACAGTGATATACAGTCTTCCCCGTTTGATCACTGGCGACTGAGTACTCCTTCGTCCTCCTCTGCCGCCGCCAGTAATCTCGCTTCTTGCTGGTGCTCTTGCTCGCGACGCATCACTAGCAACTCGTCGAGGTTGTGCAGTGCCTGCCCTATGTTTTCATTTGGCAGTCCCTCGCTTGCTCGCGCCACCTCTGCCAAACGCTCTCGCCAGTCTCCCTGTTTGACCACCAAACGCGCTGCCAGCAACGCGTCAGCGTCCCACCGCCGCGTGAGCTGCCGATACTCGACTACCATTGCCATGTCACCCACGCCCCTCTCTGCCGAGCGCTTGGCCTCCATGCTCGAGGCCTACAGCCCCGCACATGCTACCCTTTTGCTTGACACGCGCCACCCGTCCCAGTTTGCCCGCCATCACATCATCTCCTCCATCAACATGATCACCGCCCCCCTCATGATGCGTCGCCTTGGCCAGGGCAAGGTCCCACTCAGCGCCGCCCTGCGTCTTGATGCCAACGACTCGGCGCCAGACCTGGAACAGATTACGGCCATCGTGCTGATTGGTGCCGGTGACGCTGCGAATGACCAAAGCGTTTTTGACGCCGTCGTTGCAGCCGTTGGGGGTCACGTCGTCTGCTACTACCTTCAGGGTGGTTTCCCTTCCTTTGCCGCCGTCGACGATGCGAGCCATCTCATCAAGGTCTCCCCCAAATCAAACGCCTTTGCCGCCCCGAGCTTTGCTCCACCACCAAAAACCGTCTCTACCACCTCGGATTCACAGCCCCCCAAGCCCTTTGGCGACATGCCCCCCATCTCCTCGGGTCTTCAAGCCCGACGTGGCCGCCAAGGCAGCCGGCGCTTGAGCTTGGTTGGCATCAACCCCCACCTCTCCCTTGACACCCTGCCGCCGGCCTCAGCTCCACCCGTGCCCACGGCCGCCCGCCACGGCCTCTGTTGCTCTCGCTTTCGTGAGGGCCATCCCTCGGCCGTCGAATCATCCCTCAGCGACGTCTGGCAAGGCTCCATCTACATTGGTTGCGTCCACGACGCCACGGATCGTGACCTGCTCACCCGTACTGGCATCACCCACGTCCTCAGTGCCTTGGAAGACTGCCCCGAGGTGCCCATGAGCATTGAACAGCTTCATCTTCCCATCTCCGACACCTTCAGCTCGGAGTTTGAGGTCTTGCCCAGCTTCTTGCGCGGCGCCCAGTTTATCCACGAAGCCGTCAGCGCTGGTGGACGCGTCTTGGTGCACTGCGCCGCTGGCGTCTCGCGGTCCCCAACCATGGTTGCCGCTTACCTCATTCTCTACCACAACATGTCCATGGAAACGTCCATCAGCCACCTGCAGGCGCTGCGCCAGGTGGTCTCGCCCAACCTCGCGTTTTTGGGCGTTCTGCTCACCATGGAGCAGCAACGCAACGACGGCCGCCTTTCCGTGGACACCACTGCCTTGACCCAACACTTTGACCCCACTCATCTGGCTCCACCCCGCGGCTCGGCCGTCTCTTCATCACCACAATCCCACAACTCGTCCAACTCTTCCCTCGTTCTCGAGCGGTGTGGTTCCACAGCGGGGTCCGCCCCCTGCTCTGCCAATCAGTTGGCTCCGCCCCAGTTTATGTTTGTCGAAGGGCACTAGTATCTGCGTCCCTTCCGTCTGTTTGCGAGCGTCTGTGACGCCCCATGTGTCGTGTATGCAGAATCGGCTAGACTCAAGTTTTCTCTGCATGTGTGCACGCGTTGCCTGTTTCTCTAAATGTGTTTTGGAACAGCGTTCCCACTTTTCTTCATTGGAGTTACGACGACCCATCATTTTTAAAATCCTGCTTGCCTAGCTCGCGGATAGGTTGAACCTGTAGTTTGTACGTCCGGTGCGAGACTTGACATTTATATTTGTCTCTTCCGTGCTTGTTCGTTTCGTGTTATTTTGAGAGGTATTTCTAGTATGCACCAGTGTGTATGCATGTATGGGGCAATTCGGCTTGTCTTACACCGAACGCACCCCCGTGACTGAAGCGCTTTTTTCGAATTTGAAAAGCGCAAAAGAATAATTGACACTTTAAACACCACCAATCAGACGTGTCACTCGAATTCAATTCAGCCTGGCCTAAGATAACAATCCATAGGACCGCTTGTCGTCCCATGTGCAAGCCTCGGCACAGTGTGACTCATTCGTCTGGCTAGCTTAGTGGTCATTCAACAGCCATAGCCACAGCCACATTGGATGTGGCTCGAGTCGCGCTTGCCACTTGCTGGACCATTCCAGCCCCATTGGCCAACTCACCCTCAAAGCACGTTATTCCCTACTGGAGCAGCGTCACTTTGTGTGGCACGACCAGCACGCCACATTGATCTGGACAGGAGAAATAGGTGTGGCCCTAGCCCAGAGATTCGTTACAGTGCAACACATTCACGATGAGCAAGCGCCATGGGCATCTCGGTGCGGGTATGTGCCAGAGGTGCAACTAAAATAATTTTGGGCACAACCGCAGGTGTTTCGCACCCAAGGCAAGGCCTGCGTTGGGCGATTCATTTACATACCTCGATGGTGCCATTGTTCTTGCCAATCGGTGCGTCTAATTCGATGCCGCAGCGAGCCCCTTGTTTCACATGGTGCCGGCCCACAAAGCGTAGATATCCAGGCACCGCATAGCCAGCCACTTGGACGCGTCGTCCTATGTCAGCGGCCGTGGGCATGTCATTGCGAGCGTCATCCGCTGGAAGTACCCAAGTCGCTGGCGCTGACGTGTCCACGTTGCCATACATGCCGTCGTCCTCCGCAGCAGTGTTGGCCCTGTAGTGCTCATCCTCTTTGTCGCGAGCGCCAGCCGTCGCCTCCAAGGCCTCCGGGGGGCTTGACTCGCTCATCACCGCATTTGCAGAAAGCAAGCTCGTGGCGGGCTCTTCAAATCCGAAAAACCCATCATCATCATCATCATCATCATCGTCATCATCATGGACAGTCTGCCCTGGCATCACCACCGGAGCTTGCTCTAGCGCAGCGCCACCCATGTCGTACAGCCGATCTGGGTCCGCTCCTCGCTCAGCTGGTGCCATGGTTTGGAGCCTCTCCCCCGAGGTGTCCGAGTGCACCTGGCTCACTGTCGCCGGCGTGCTAGCATCTCCACCCAGGTCATACAAGCGATCAGGGTCCGTCTCGCGCATGGCGCCCGTCACATCCTGGGAATCATCAGCTCCATCCATGACCCCTTCTTCTCCTAGATCATACAACGCGGCATCTCCCAGGGGTGTCACGCCCTTGGCTTGCGATGTGCGCCGTGACGGCGAGCCTGAGCTTGCTTTGCCGCTCAGGCGCCGAAGCAGGCCTTGGGCCTTACCCAGCAGCGTCTGACTGTTGCTTGGCTTAATCGTACCGTCGTCCGAGGCCACAGACAAGTAATCTTCCGACTCGCCCCAGTCGATTCCGGTCAAATTTGCATGCCGTTCCCGAAACCAGTGCTCCAGTTCCTCAAACGTGGGGCGCGCGCTAGGGTCGACGAGCCAACACCGCAGCATCATTGCGTAGGTTTCATCGTCGCAGTCAAGCGGCTGAGCCAGCCGATGTCCAGCGCTAATCTCCACCCAGACTCTCTGGTTGTGCCAATCGCCGTAGGGAATCTGTGCTCGGTTCCACAGTTCGTGCAGCGTGACGCCAAAGCTCCACACGTCGGACTTCTCTGTAAATTTGCGCTCGTCCAACGCTTCAGGAGATGACCAGCGCACGGGCAGTTGACCGCCCCGCGAACGGTAATACGCAGCCCCGCCTTCATCTTCGCACTCACTCTCGCGTGCCATGCCAAAATCAGCAATTTTGCAGCGCTTCGTCGAGGACACCAGAACGTTGCGTGCCGCCACGTCGCGATGAACAAACCCCTTGCTGATCACGTGGCGCAGGCCCGCGGCTATGTCGCCCGCAAACAGGACCTTGGTGACCTCGGGCAGATCGTTCTTCTCCACGTACGACTTGAGCGCGCCGTACTCTAAAAACTCCAGCACCACCAGGACCGGCTTGCCCACAGTCACCACCCCCACCAGTTGCACCACGTTCTCATGCCGAAATTGGGCCATCACAGCAGCTTCTTCCAAGAGCTCAGATCGGTCTGATGCCGAACTGGTGGCATGCAGCGACTTGACTGCCACCAGGTAGTCCGGAATGCCTCCACCCTCCCGCATGAGACCCTTGTAGACGACGCCGAAAGCTCCTTTACCAAGTTCATCCAGCAGAGTGACGGCCGGACGAGCCAGCTCGCGTGGCACCACCACCTCGTCCTCACTCAGATTTCGTAGCTGATCGATCATGGCAAATATGTCTCCCCAATTTTGTGGCTGGCGTGAGCGACGACGGGCGCGCAGCAACAATGCCATGAGAACCGTGGCTAGGATCAGCAAAGCAGCCCCACCTGCCGCGGCCCCGGCAAGCAGGGTCGTGCTCGCGGCATTGGCGCTGGCCGTCACCACGGTGCTATTGTTGTCGCCGCTGGGCGAGCGCACTACCGACACAGCAAACGTGCAATTGGCTACATTGCCCGATTTGTCTGCTGCTCGCACCACCACAGCGGTGGTGCCCACGTCAAAAAAGCTGCCGCTGGCACGCGACACGTTCCACCAGGCAATGCCATCATTGTCCACAGGGTCACGCACGTCGAAGGTAACGTTTGCACCCGCACCGGACTCACGGCTCAGCACCTCGTTGAGCGCTGGACAAACTACAGTGGGCGGGGTGACATCCTCAACGGTCACGCGAAGCTCGCCTACGAGCTGGTTGCCATACACATCGGTCAACACCAAGCTCTGACTTTGATTGGCCCCGACTCCAAAAGTGAGGGTGGCATTCGCGGGCGGAGACAGAAAAACAACACCCCGACCCGAGTTGTCATCAATGTTCGTCGGGTGCCAGGCAGTGGGCAGCAAAGTCACCGTGCTGCCGTTGGCAGGAAGTTGGAGGTCCAAGGCTGGTCGAAGCACAGCGGTCGGCGCCGTGGTATCGCGCACTCGCACGATAAAGCGGCACTCGGCTCGATTTCCTGCCAAATCCTCGGCCCAGTACAGCACCTCTGATGGCATCGCACCGGGTGCCAGGAGTGAAAACAGGCTCGCTGCCTGATCAGGCCCCCCAGAGCGCACCACCCCTCGCAGGTCATTGAACACGGGCCGGGTCCAAGTGACATTGGCGACGTTCGAGTCAAAGGGGACGGTCACGTTGATGTCGTCTGGGCAAAACTCAACGGATGGCGGCATGGCATCAGCAATTAGAACGCGTGGACGGTCGTCGAGCGTCACAGCGGTAGGAGCATCGTGCAGTGGTGACACCACGCGCACGCCTACAAAAGAGTTGGCTGATGCCACCAGCGTCTGCGAGTTCTCGCCAGGGCGCCCTTGTGGGTAGTTGAGAACGAGCTGCATCGAGGTAAAGCGGAAGCCCCGTTGAAAGGTGGGTGAGGTAGCCGACACTCTCAACACACCCGAAGCAGGATCAACGGTGGCTTCTGCATTGTGGAAGACCATGTCCGGTGGAAGAGCAGTCAGGCTTTTGTTTTGACCCGCGTCATCGTAGCCCTCGATGTGAAGTTCGACCTGGACGTCGTCGTCGGCGACGGGCTCGCTGATCTCACCGAGCTGGTCCGCAGGCACATACAAGATGTCAAAAGTCAACAACAAGTATTCAGATCCCTCACTGGGGCGCACGTAAACCTGATCCAAGCTGGTCGCGGTATCCAAATTCAAGACGAAGCGCGTCGAGTTGGCAAAGTCGTAAAACAAGCTAGGAAAACTATCAAGAAAGCTGTACTTGATGGCAGCCGGGGCCAAGCCCACCGCAGCGACCCGCTCATACGAGAAGCGGCTCTCCAAGTTGGATGCATACGTCATGGTCGCCGTCACCTCGACGGCGTTGGCCTCATAAGTCAAGGCAAGGGCAAACCGACAAGTGCCCATGAGACCACTCGTGTCACGAACAGTATATTTGATGGCATACGGCGAGTTGAGAATGCTGAACGTGTCGCCCGGTGCATAATTGGACGTGACAGACTCAACAGCAACATTGTCCGTCTCAACGGGCTCGTTCCAAAAGACAGGCATTTCCAGAGTGCCAAAAGGCAGCGCTACTTGCATGTCCGAGGGGCAGGTCGAACCAAAGCTCGGGGCAATGGTATCCGCCAGCGTCATGGGCACAGCTGTTTGCAAAAGACAAACAAAACGAAACCAAGCAGAACCAAGTTATCAGAGACGCTTTGCTTTGAGGTTGACAAGGGTTATGATGCTCGTCCAAATGACTCAAATCCGCATTTGTACCAGACCACCACGTACTAGAGGTGCGGCCATTAGGTTGTTCGACCATCACATACAGCGATGATCCGGCGATGGGCACGTATTGCCGACTAGTACCGTGGCGGGCGATGGCAGTTAGACAACGGAGACTTGACATGTGCGTGCTCACACCCAGCGTTGCCTCCAGCGGTGTTAGACTGGAAGAAGAAGCAGCCGGGACACCAAGCGACGGGCCGAGAGCATTGAACAATTGCATGAGCACACCTCATGGATTCGTCACGGCGGCGCCGCAGAGGGTTCTCTGAGTCCAGGATCATGTTGATGGAAGCAAAAGAGATGGATTCGAACACCGGCTCGGAGCGTGCGGCCATACGAAAGCATCGACCGCCCTCCTCAAAACCAGACCCTGTGTCTGAAATGACGAGGCCTTTGACGTTGGCCTGATTGACAGCACCATTGCAAACACGCAAGGTATAGGGAAGAGCCAAAAGGAGTCCGCCAAAAAAGGTGAGCGCATCGAGCATTTGCGCACTTGGAGCCGTGGCCTTTTCTGCAACAACAACAACAACAAAAAAAAAAAAAAAATGCCACCCACCTCGAGAGGGGCGGGGACGTGGAGTGATTCATTGTAACCGCCCGAGGCACACCAGGTGAGGTCAATGACAAGCATAGCTCGATCGCCATCCCCAAGGCTCAGGGTGAACGGTTGGTCCTCGGGGCTGACGATTCCCAATGCAAAGCGGCGTCCAATGACGGTCCCTTCAAAACGGGGCACGGTTAGACCACCACCACCAATGCTGCTAGTGTCCATGATGAAGACGTAGCTGCCATTGACATAGGGCAGATATCCTAGCGTGGAAATGGTGAGTTCAAAGCCCGTCTCCACATAGACCTCAAAGCTCCACGTCAAACTCGCATTGCCATCAAGGATGTCGGTCGTGTAGACCACTCTTGTCAGACCCAACGGGAAATCGTATGACGGCGATGAGACCCCTATTTGAGACAAGAGCACGGCGTTGAGTATGATTGGACAGGGCTGCACCCTTTTTTTGACGACCGCGCAATCCGATCAAGTTGCAGCTCACCGAGATTGTTGGTCACGTTGACGCGGTTCACAAACGCGGAGGGCATTTTAGGGGCCGTCCACGATATGCGGACCTCCGTCTCGTCTGGGTCCAGATAGCTGTTGTAGTCTTGTGGGACGTTGACAAAGTTGAATATGGCAACTGTAATGGTAACCACAGCCGAGCAACCCGTCTCGGCCATGACCACTTGGCCCTGCTCCAAGTACATGCACGAAGGTTGGTCATCCGTCACTAATACCGCACCGAGGGACAGGAGTCAAGTTGCCATGAGTGTAGTGCCAACCTCGAGCCAGAGCTGTTGATAGCCACGTCTCTGATACATTCAAGGGTTAGCGACAAGACAGACCACGCAGGGAGAAGATGGCCGTTTCATCCGACTCGAGCGACTGGTTGAGGTACAGGACGCCCGTGGTGGGATCTACTGCGAATGAAGCATATGCACCTTGACCCGCGTTATCAATGCTGAAGGACAAGTTTCGCACCGTCACGGTTCCAGCATCGGCAACCGCCGTCACCAACTAGGAGCAAAAAGATAAGAAAACCCCAACGTCGGCCACACGGGTCAAAATGTCATCGATTTAGCAGTGGGTGAGTTCTGCAGGCAGGCAGCTGAAGGGTGGGACCAGGAAAGCACAAAGGACTTGGGGAAACAAAGGCTCACCGCAGCGCCGGGTGTCAAGGAGTATGGAATCAAAAACTCGGTTTGAAAGTCCTGAAATACAGGTGGCTTTGTCTCAACTATAGCGCAGGGTAGTGAGCGTGAAGAAGGATACCGCTTTTCAGCAGGAAAAAGCAAAAGAACGTGAGGACAAGAATCAAGCACCACGTACGCTCGCAGCTGCGGTCATCGGCGCCGACAATGTAGCCCGTGCGACAATTGGAGCACGTGCCCAGTTGGTAGAAGTTGGCGCCCTCAACGCTCTTGCCAAATCGGGTGAGGTCAGGCGACTGACGCAAGCAGCAATCACCGTTGTTATAGACCAGAAAGCTGTCACAGCCCGACACGTCAAAGCATTGGTCCCGGCATTGAGCCACAACATCGCTGCCGGGATCAGGAACCAGCTGGCAAGCGCGGACCGTCAAGCTTGGTGGGTCTTGCTCCACCTGTTGAAGTTTCAAATACGGATGAGGCCACACGCACGCGAACGCTAGGAACGAAGGAAGAGAGAGAGAGAAAGAGAGATAGAGCAAGCAAAAGGCGTCAAGTGCGTACTCGAGCCAGTAAAACATCGCTGCGTCCGTTCTGCAGCTGGCAAAAGCTGCACTCGCTCCAGGGACACGCACAACTTGTTGTCGAATTATCCAAAGCACCATCAATGCAATAGTTGCGCTCTGAAAGCCAAGAGTCGACAGTGAGCAAGCTCAAGGGATTGCTCAAACACACTAGGCAAGTGGAGAAGTGAGATAGCCTACCGGCGCACTGGCGATTGCTGGTCGCTGTTGGCATAGCCACTTCGACTTCCAATGGGAGACATTCTGTAGCCGCCGTGCAAGCGGAGTCGGAGCCTGGGTTCCCGTGTTGCAGGTGGCACGTGAAAAGTGAGAAAAGGGGCAGGCCAAGCCCTCGCAACTACAGCTTTGACCTTCTCTTCAATGACCGCAACTCACTGACCTGGGTTGCTCTTGAAGAAGCCAGAGGCACAAGGCGCGCATGTCCGGTCTCGGGAAGCCAAAGGTCCAACAATTTCCTCTTCACCAGCCTTGCACTCTGTCACGGCTACGCACTCGTTCAATGCCTGGAGGAAACGTATGAGTGAGACATAGTCGGTATGAAGCGGTCGAACACAGCTCAGCGGCAGCAGACCGATTGAGAAGGCAAGTCAGCTGAGCAGACCTTGTCGGCAAACGTCACGCCTTGAACACAAGTCTGGCACTCGCGGTCCGAGACATCGTTGGGCGCTTGCACCTCAATTGCACCGGCAGCGCAGGAGGTGTGACTCTTGCAAGAAAGGGCATTCGCCTATGTCCTCAGCGGGTTGCCATTAGTCACAAAGCGAATTATGAGCGTTGGAGCGTTGATACGGCTCTGCCCGGCAGAAATGAGCAGCTACGGCACGGGCAGGCTCCTTGGTCTGCCTCGGAAGCTGTCGCTCTGCGCTGAGGCATTGTGCCTACCGTTGTCGAGTATTTGCCGCTACTACATGCTTGGCAGACGGCATCGGTGGTAGGGGTTGCCGCCGTCTGAACATATTGCCCTGGACTGCAGGTGCGAATGCTCTGGCACGAGACCTGACAGAGTCAAGATGAAGATGTCAGAGAACAACGACGCAGTCCTCGCGTGGGCGTGGAGCCCTTGGCACTCAGTCATCAATATCGGGTTGGGTTGCAAAAAACGTACTGCGTTGATCGAGTCACTGAATTCACCCGGAGCACAGGTGCGACAAACACGATTCTGCTGAGGGCTGAGTTCGCTTAAAACAAACTGGCCTGGTTGACAGATGGTCCCAGGCTTGCACGCCTGAGCACCCGTCTATCGATGGGTGGCAGCGCCCACATGAAAAGATAAGGGAATATGCTTTGCAGCGCTGCCGACTTTTGGGCCAGGGCGTGAGATCAAAAGACCATGAGAAGGTGTCGTACCGAGTCTTGGTATTCATTGCGGGTTACAGTGCAAGGGTAACAGCCTTCTGTGTTGGTGACATTCGAGAAGGTACCTCTCGGGCACTCCACGCACTCCCGATCGGCTACTGAGGACCCTGGGGCTGTTGACTTGACCTGTTGCCCGGGGTTGCAGATGGTCCAGGCTTGGCAGGAGGCCGCGTTTACGGCCGTCGAATAGGTTCCCTCGGTGCAATTCTTGCAGAGAGGTTCGGGAGTGAGAGACAAGTAGGCACCCGGATTGCACTCAAGAGGCACTTCGATGGCACGGCATTCCTGGCCACCTTCTGGTGAGGTTTCAAACCCCTCGTTGCATGGAGTGCAGCTGGCGCTGTTGATGGCTGTAGTTTCGTATTGAGCTGGGCAGGGATCGCACACACGGTTGGAGATGGTTGTCACGTCTTCTGCAATGTAATAGCCTTTGGTACAGTCGCGCGGCTTGTTGCAAGCAGACTGGCCCTGAAACCAGGGAGACAGGCAAGAAGCATGTGGGTCAGTTTGAGGTGCGCTCGATAGAGTTTTGCCTCGCTGAATGCACTGTTGGAAGCGGTGTTCAGACGGAACCTTGTAGACTTGGTATTTGCCAGCCGCGCAGGCCACACAGCTGCCTTGGCCTGGCAAGGGTTGGACGGTGCCCGCTGTGCATTCGGTGCAGGTAGCAGAGCCAGCAGGGGCATACTTGCCAGCTTCACAAGCTATGCATGGAGGCAATTCACGGAAGCAGAGTCTCTGAGTCAAGTGGTAGAAAGGGTGGTGCGCAGAGGATATCATGTCTCAACGTACCAGAGCAGGTGATCCCAGCACCATTTTGCGAAGAGGTCCCAGCCTCACAGGCCAGGCATGTTTCCAGGCCCACCTCGGGGGCAACAAAACCGTCCGCACAAGTGGCACAGTTGATGCCGTCACCACCGGCTTTGCCCACGGGGCAAAGCTCACAACCACTACTGCCTTGTTGGGCAGTGTAGGATCCCTTGGCACAGGGTGTACAGGTGGTGGCACCAGCTGCTGAATAGGTACCTGCGGCACAGGGCACGCAGGTCCCACCACTGGAGGCAGCATGGGTGCCAGCAGGGCAGCTCTCACAACCATCCTGGGTATCACGAATGGTCTTGCCGGCCGGACAGAGGGCACAGGTAGCCGTGCCGCCAGTGGAGTAGGTGTTGGCGGGACATGCCAAGCACTGTTGGGCATCACCGGTGGCGTACTTGCCTGCAACACATTCTAATGACATCAAAGAAGGTGGGACCATGGTGAGCAAATGGGCGTGTTGGTGCAACGGCTGAAGGACACAAACAAAAAAGTAAAAAGTGAACATGCACGTCTCCTGGTACGAATGGGTAGCATGGCGATTTGATTTAGTGTTACCCGTGCAGCTTGTGGCACCACCAGCGCTAATCTTGCCAGCTTCGCAGTCAAAGCATTCCTGTGCGGATGTGTCAATCGGTGATCGCGTAGCGGCGTGAAGGCGAATGTAGGAGAAAGAGCGATGCGAGGAGAAAGAAGCCGCATATGCAAAAGTAGACTTGACGGCAGAGGTTGCAAGAGAAGAGGCCCACCTTTGCTCCAGTGCTGGGCTGAGCTTTCCCGGCCGGGCAGTTGGTACAAGAGTTGTACCACAGAATGTCCCAACCGGAGAGACCATCGTGGGAATGATATTTGCCTTGCAGCAGCAGGAAAGGCAAGCGACCGCGTCAATGTGGTAGAAAGAGCGCAAGCCTGCAAGCATGATGGAGCAGTGCATAATCAGCATTGGGTCAACTCACCAGCGGAGCAGGCTGTGCACTTGAAGACTGAGATTTGGCCTTCGGGGCAGTTTGCGTTTGCCGCGACGTGCGAGATGCTGGCCAGCAACAATGCACTGGTCATGATGCATAAAGCCGGGCCCGATAATAGATGGGGCCTCGGCAACGCCATTGTCGGCGGTCAATTGCGCTGAAAACGCCCTTTTGGTTGCCACGTCTCCAGCGCAGCAACCACGACACGAGCGTCAAGAAAGAAGTCTTCTGCCCTCACAAGAAAAAAGACCACGATGGAACGCAATGCCAGGGCAGAGCTATTGGAACTGCAATAGGGCAGCGGGTTGCAGCAAATTGGTCGAGTGGGATTTTCTTCTGAAGCTAGGAACCGCTGTTGCTGGCAGTCGCATGGGGGTGGTGGTGGATAGAGTGCGGGAGAGAGGGATGGACGCGAGTGAGCCGGGCCGATTGGCGAGCAACAGAGCGACACACCGGAAAAGACTATAATGTGCCGACGTGGAGCCCAGGGGAAAACTATGTAGCGAGTCGACTTGGAGGGCAGATCACCACAACGGAAGCCAGAGAGGGCTTGCACTCGCACACACGCGCACGCACTTGTGCACTCGCACAAAGAGCGCGAAGCAAGAGAGAAGAGAGAGAAGAGAGAGAAGAGAGAGCAGAGAGAGAGAATTGTGGCCCGTGCGACAGAAGAACAAGTGGAGGCCAGTAGGGGGTGGGAGAGGGGGAGTGGTTGCGATACAGTCCTGACTGCGGACAGATGTTGATCAAGTCAGGATGCATAATGTGGGTGTCGTTTGTAGCGGGTTCAGAGGAACTGTCGCGCGCAGGCTGCCAGTGTATGTGGCCAACTGCCGCTGTGCATGGACCTTGGCCACAACTTCGTACTCCCTGCACGCTGCACTCTACACTCTACACTCTGTGCCTCGCTCTGACCTCGCTGCTAAGAATGACTTTGGATGTGATTGTGCCGGGAGTCCTGCTTGCTGACTTCTTTTGTCAGACATCACTGCTGATGCTCTGCAAGTTTTTTTTTTTTTTTGGAGGGGAGATTGCGCACGTGCGGCAAATCTTGCTTTGGATGCGTGTGCAGAGTGTATGGAGTTGACTTGCTTGTCTTTGAACTTTGAAGAGAAGAGTCATGACCCATCACGTAACAGACAAAAGGCGCTTCAGGGCAAGACATTGGAATTGGTTCGTCTGTTCGGTTTCATCGTTTCTACTTCTACATGGCAGCCTCTGCCTCGGGCAGACCCTGTTCAATCTCTTCCACCTTGAACACCCCAAAAAAGCAAATGCAAGTATGAGTGCCTGATCCTCTATGGGCCAGAGACAAGACAGATGCGCGTGGCAACTGCTGTAGCCACACGTGCATGAGAGAGACGTGCCAAGACAAGCGGCTTACCTCTGCCTTCATCAACTTGATGTAGCTCACGAGCCGCTGCCCCGATGCCTGAGGGAGGCAAAAAGCAAGATGACACACACGCACACACACACACACACACACACACACACACACACACACACACACACACACACAAGAAAAAAAAAAGCGTCATCTCGCCTATCAAGGTTGGCGGGCCGACAACACCTACCTTGTGGGTTTCACTCTTCAAGAGGGCTTGCGCTCGTGGGATGTAGTCCCGCACGTCACGCTTGAGTTGTTCCGCATACCCTCGCATCGCGGTAATGGGATCGGTGGCGGAAGCAATGTGGGCCTCGACCTCCTTCATGCGCTTCAACGTTGCGATGCTGGCGAAACCAACCAACCAACCAACCAACCAACAAAAAAAAAAAAAAAAAAAAAAGGAGAAGAAGCACATGACAAGAAAAAGAATGAAATATAAGCCAAAGCGAGTGGGTGTAAAGCACAAAAGCAAAGAGCCACAGGCCCACCCCAGTCATACCGTTTCTTGCTCAGCGCCTGAACTTCGGGCGGCAGAGTGGTTGCTTGCATACTCGTTAAAGCTGCCTGATACGGCGCGAGTTGGCCATCTACCCCATACAAGCAGGAGGCGAAAAAAAGATGACGGGCACGTCACGGCTACGGTGAGCAAGTCCAACTAGCGCAAACCTTTCTCAACCTCACGCGTGTGCAGTGACACAAACCCAGTTCAGTGAAAAGGTCTGTGAGGACTTTGTAGCTGTGGATGTCACCCAGCGGGGGGTGACCATCAGTGGCCCAAGCCAAACCTGCACCATCTTGCGATGCCTGAGAGCCCTGCGTTGGCCCTTCCATACGGGAAGCGACAGATCGCGGTGCTGCGGGCGCAGTATCAGGAGTCAGCTTGGCCAGTTCGGCTTGCAAGACTTGCAAACGTGCTTGGGCCTCGGCTGCAACCTGTTCAAGTCAAAGAAGAGGGGGGTGGGATCAATTACCCTAAACCTCAGGCCGCAATTCCCTGTACAGTTGAACACGCAAGCAACGCTTGCTAGTGCACAATACCACAACCCCTTGGGCCCTCGGCTACTGGGTCTTTGCAGCGCGCCAGAGTCAAGACTTACGTTGGATTCGCTCGCAATGAGTTCATGATACACGCGAGCTTCAGCTTTGATGCGTTGAATGTATTGCTGTCGGGTCGTGCCGTCCCGGAAACAGGTGGCATGGAGCTGCTTGTAGCGCTGCGACGCTTGCTTGCTGCATTTGTGGACGAAAAAAAAAAAAATGAGAACATGTGGACTCGGCAAACTCGCTTACAATACGCGATGTACTGACCGGAGCAACAGCGGCCGCCGCGCTGCCTCAGGGATGTGACCAGGTTTCAGGTCAAACTGTTTAAGGGAATCGCCTGCGCTTCGGCCACCCATCACGATCATGAATGCACAGCCGTGCCCAAGACGAGTTTGCAGATGCACAAATTCGTCAGCATTCTCTGATGGATGGATTCCATGCGCCGAGGGTACGAGGGAGCGCACCGATGCGGTCGACTATCAGCTTAAGAACACTTAGACAGTAAATCTCGTTGATACCCGGCAGCACCGCTTTGTGGGCCCGGGCCGCCTGTACTCAACGTCCAGGCAGCGCCAGCATGAGCGGAGCCATCAAGCAGGATAATCACCGACCAACATCCAGACAACATTAAAAGGTCGCTGAGCTTCAAATTGTCTCTTTCTTGCTCCCCCACCCCACCCGCCGCGCCACGCCTCTGCCTGACCTGACGTTGCGCTGTTTGTTTGTTATGCTCCTCAATCTGTGTCAGCCTCTGATCAACGGCAGACGCTGTTTTGCCCTGCAAATGAGAGAACCGTTGTTGAGGCATTGGCAGAAGGGTACTAGCCAGCCGGGAGCGCTCTCTGCTGAGGCAAACGCCTGTATCCCACGATCTAGAGCTCAAACTGCCACGCCAAGAACTCATTGAAACTGACCGTATCAAACCGCACCCATGAAAAAACCCGACTCGTCTTGGTGGCTCCTGCCGCGGGCATGCGCAGCCGAATCTCAACCTGGAAGCCCCACCATCACAAGCACATCAGTAGGCGCAACATGGAAAGCAACGACTTGTCTGCAAGAGACAGCCCATCCATCGCCTCGAAGAAGAGTCACATCCAAGACGCCATCGTGGACCCACCTCAACCCGGCAGCTATGGCCGCGGGCTGCTGTTTTCATTTCCACACAAGTGTGCAACGTGGCCTTTTGCTGCAAGTCCTGAAGTGGGATTTTGCATCGCGCCAACTCGGAATCTGCATCACCACCACCACCACCACCACCACCACCAAGCACAGGCCATGAAAGTTGGACTGCACTTGCAAAGATGCTACAAAGATTCACAGCACTGTGCGGGTCCCCAGCCTTGGCTCAATCCTTTTGTTACTTGCGCCCCCTGATACGCTCAATTGCTTGACTCACCTTTGGAAAAGATGGACAAAAGCCCTTTGCTATGATAGGCCTCCACCACCAAGGCGCCACGTTTGAGGTAGCGAAAGAGCTGTTTGCCAGGAACAATATCCAACTATGCAGATCCCAAGCAAACGTCTTGAGGAACAATGGCAATAGGCGAGTATAATGACCACCCAACGCCAAGGCACACACAAAGACTCCCGGACCTTTAGAGGTTTGGACTCGGAGAATTCTGGCGAGACGGAGCCCGAGGCCTTGCTCGTATAAACGACCTAAAGAGAATGAAATGTCATCCATGAGGCCGTGACAGATGGCCAAGCCCATGACAAGATCACGCTACCTGAGGCTGGCCACTCTCTGGAAAGTCCATTGCGGCTTTGACGTAAACAACCAAGTCCTTTTCAGCCACGCCTAGGCAGCCAGGGTGGCAGCAGCATGAGCAATGAACTCGTTCATCACGACCAAATCCCGCTGCGTGCTGCGTGCTGTACCTCGTGGTGGCACCAATCCAATCAGGCGCTTGATGTGAAGGTGCATGTGATCTGGCTGTACGTCGAAATTTGTCCTATAGCACCCTCGCCGATTGGTGGATGAGGGCTGCAGATGCTCTAGCCTCTACTGCTGAGACACAACGCAAGGGGGCCAACAGGGCCATTGGTCTTGACACGGGGCGAGAAGCGCTTACTCGGGAACATGAAAAGTAAACTCTTTCTGCAGGGTGGGCGGTGGAGCCTGGCCTTGCTGATGCGCCTTGGCCAAGAGGTCGCGCTCCTGCCTGTCCGTTCCGACCCCAGCGATAGTTAGCACAAACAACGCACGCGGCGCCAAGTCAGCACCAGAAAACCATATTTAGATAACGGCCCGATGACTCACTTCATACGCTGTATGAAAATCTCGAGCTTCTGCTCACTGGGTAGCTCGCCCACGTTGTGATACAGCGTGGCCAGATCTGAAGCCTCTTGAATCTATCGCCGTGAGAATTCAGAAAGACCATCATCGACATGTCCGCCACCCCACGTCGGTCAGCAAGGCACAAAAGAGCTTGAACAGAACTGATGCTTAGCGTCGCAGTACCTGATTATCAAAGGCAGAAAACAGACGCTGAAAGACCTCTTCGTGTGGATTTGATTGAGCGGCTACAGTAGATGGATGAGGGTCGAAATGACGGCGTACTGTCCATCAAGAGCCATGTCGGACCAGGACAAGCTCGAGCAAAGCACACACCTTTAACGGCTGGGATGGGCTTGGCCATGAGCGCACCCATGGCGGGCGTGAGCTGACCGGCCTCGAGCGTCGCAATGACGCGCTCCAACTGCATGGTCATCTATAGTAGCGGAGACACCCCGACCCCATACCCCCCCCCAAAAAAAATCAAAAATTAAAAAAAAAAAATTAAATTTAAAATCAGTCGTGTTTAGGAGCTAAGATGGTGCGCCAACCGAGACCTTTGGCTGTCAACATACCTGCAAGCATTCTTTGGCCGATTTTTCTTGGTTGATGAGCAAGAAGGCGCGCGCCGCCTCTTCCCAGGCGGCGCGACGCGCATTGACCTCTGCCAAAATGTGGGCGTGTGACTGCGGAAGAGAGGTCGCTGGTTCGGCTCGTGCCACCGGAACAGACGAGCGCGGCTGTAGCCTGCCGCCAGACGCAGTTTTCTTGGCCATTGGTGATGCTCGTTCCTAATCAATTTATCCGGGCGAGTGTGATGTGAGGAGGAATGACAAGTGGGAGTCGTGCAGAGCGGTAATCCCTGCGCGCGGCGCCACGCCTCACCGAATCCGATGAGCTGGCAGACTGTAGAGACCGAGAGGATGAAGTGGTTTGACTCTGATGCATGGCAGCGCGACCCGATGCTGCAGCATCATCGAGGGCCGCAGCAAATTGAGAGCTTGTGCCTCCTTGCGGTGCAGCGTCACGACCGGTATCAATCAGCTCCTCGTCGTCTTCGGAGTCAAGACCCTCGAGCTCCCCTAGATCAATGTCATCATCATCATCGTCCACGTCCTCATTGCCCCCGGCAGGATTGCCATGATGTCCATCGTCCTGCGACGCTTGTTCATCAGAGTCTTCATTGTACTCGTCGTCGTCAACGTCGTCATCAAAGGCTGCCAGCAGGGCTGCGTTCTTGGACAAAAGCGCAGCCGTATCTATAGCCCATGCCGGAACGGAAGAGACATGGTTAGGCAGGTGCGCAGAACGGCCATGTTGGGATGTTAGCTGAGTTTGCACGCACCATCAAGCAAGGCATTCTGATGTGGCTCCGGCTGGGCAGTGGCGTGCGCCTTGGCCGACGCAGCAGAAGTAACGGGTTGAGCGGCAGTGTCCTCAAAGGAGATGAGGTCTGCGGGGGGCGCTGACCGCTGCACCTGCTCTGTTTGACGAGCCGGTGGGGCGGTGTCCTTTTGCCATACCGGAGGTGGACCAGGCACAGCGCTGGGAGCTATGGGATCTGGACTGGCGAGTAATGCCTCAATTTGCTGCATCAATGTCGGAAGGATGGGAGTGAGAGGGACCACAGGATAACAGAATTCTGATCCTTTGTTTAAGTACCTTGGCTGCTGCGCGCATGTCCTTGGCCATGGGAAAGAGCTGTTCCTTTTTTTCGGGCTGCGCTTTGATGGCGTTGAGAATCTCGCGAGTTGCCGTCTTTGCAGAAAAACGGATATTGCGCCATCGTGAGAACTTGGCGCCAGGCTCGTGAAAGACGCAGTGAATGCCAGGTTAGAACAAGTATAGCTGTCAATGCAATTCAGAGAAGCGGCAGGCGGACCTGATAGGCACCGAGTCGTGATTGTAACATGGCAGCAGTGATATGTGGCGCCTAGCAGGGAGACGTAAACCAGGCCAGCACGACCGACTGAGAAGAGCACGCAACACGGCGATCGACCTGCACTCGAGGAGTGCTGACCACGAGCCGTGGCAAGGCTCGAAAAG